GTCAAGGAAATTAGCATCACTTTAGCTTTCGACTCACACTTACCGCGCGCAATTCTCTACAAATTGTATTTGCTTTGTAATCAGATGTCATTATACTCGAGGAAATATTGGGGGATTTTAAAAACATTATCTGAATTACTTCCTATTGCTTGACCGTCTAAGGCAAACAATGCCAGCCTTAAATTTTATTTTCTTCGAGGCTGATTGCACGTTGTGAATTCTCACGTGAAACAACGAAAAACTAAACACAAACAAGCAGCGAAAAACAGTGGAACCTTTAGAGCTATAAACTAATTGTTCTTTAGTCTGCCAACTGTCCGGCATCCAGAAAACAAAACTCGATAACTCTAGAAGTAAAATTAGCAACATTAAACGGAGTTATGTCGTCGTTAAATTTTGAGGGTTTGTAAGGGAGAACAACCTTTTTGAGGTATTTCTTGTTCAAGATGACTCAGTATTTTGCTTCGATGGTGCGGTCAGTCTTGAGCCATCTGGAGAACATATGCTTTCTTGACCAAGAAAAAAACTCAAGCTCTGGGCAAGCAGCGTGCTATTTAACAGTGACCACTTCGCCAATAATTTACCATTGTCTTTCACGGGAATCAAGCCGAGCAAGTTGCTAAGTGGGGTGTACGTTCGAGAACTTTTTCTGAGCCCTTTCATGTTGGATTAATGAACCAGAACGACGGAGGCATAGAACGAATTCCAAGTGGCAATAGGTTGTTTATTATTTCATGAAGTATCGTGGCGTTCTTTCAAAAGAGTAATCTCAACAATCCTCCGCGTAAGGTTACTAACACAACTCAGGTTAATTAGAGTTTAAAAATGTTATTTTATCTATATCAATGATAGGAACGATCACAATTGACATGTTTGGGGGGAAAATAAAATCAGCTATTTTTTTCGTTAGATTTGAAGAATCTCTAAGTTTCGTTTTAAGTGATAAAAGTCGGGGATTTAATCTATTAATGTATTTATTCGGGTGGCCAGCATAGAAGATTACTGGACTGGAAACTCTGGTTATAGACTTTCTAAAAAGTCCTTTAATTTTTTTTTCCTGGTTGGTTACCTCGTTGAAGCTCTCTAACAACTTAAGAAAGGTCTACTCGTAGCAAGTCTACTCTGATAATGGCCCAAAATGAATGAAGGAACATACAAAGAAACGATGACAAAAAATTAAAACCTAACGGTAGCCCTAGGTGGTCTCTTTTTTTACGAAGTTTGTGGAGTACTAACTGCTGTGAGGACAAACAAAACATGAGTGTTTGCAGTTTAAGGGCAATTTCTCAGTTTTATAAAGTGCACCACCATCGGGCTAAAAAAAGAGACGTATTTGAATTCTTTTCGCCGGTCCTCACGAAAACGCTAAAAAGATCGATCGATGGAAAAGCGATAGCATCCTTTACAGAGCATGCGCAATACTAGTAGTATATGATTTGTGACATCGTGGTATTCAAATACCGACGATTCGGTAAAACGTCGTTTACGCTTAGACGGAAGGCTATGACTGAGAAAAAAATCTCTCATTACAGCGCCTTAAAAAGTGAGTTCGCGCTGTTTCAAACTTCATCGCGATTATTCCATTCCCTTCAATTTATCAAATATAGGGGAATTTTTATGAAGTTGAATTCGTATGGCCGTATTCAAGTTTGATGTTTAGTCTGAGTTTAAGTTTTTTTTTCTTATTTTTTTGCCTGCAGATTATGAGCATTCATTCGCTATTAAGTGTCGGGAAAGTCGGAGTGAGTGAATGAGCCCGCAAAAATAGTGAAAGCCGAGAGAAAACTTGTGAGAGGGTGATTCCAACTACAATCAAAGCCACTATCGTAAGCGACTGGCTGTAGTTACGACCACCTTTTTAAAACCCCGTTTGAACTAAGACTTAAACATTGTTATGAAAAGCCATCCCAAAGCGACCGCGACCACTTTTAGAATCACCCAAATAGACTTTACCTTTGCTCTCGTAAGCGACCACTCAGAGTCTTATTCATATAAATCAACACTTTACATGTAACTTCTTTGAACACAAACACAACACGAGAAAATGGCGATTGTTTCTTGCATCAGCTCCGTTCTTACATGTTCTCGGGATTGCCACGTGTTCTCGGCATTCCCGCGAATAATGTCTCATGGAGTGTTTTTGTTACTCTGCAACAACTTTTAGAATCACCCAAATAGACTTTTCCTTTGCTCTCATAAGCGACCACTCATCAACTCCGTTCTCACATGTTCTCGGGATTGTCACGTGTTCTCGGGATTCCCGCGAATAATATCTCGTGGAGTGTTTTTGTTACTCTGCGAAAGAATCTCCGTTAGCTGGGCTGGAAGGAAAGAGCGCCTTTATATTAGTAAAATTGCCAAGTTTGAAGGTGATTTTTTCAAAACTAACAAAGATATATCTCCTCAAAGTCGCGTAATTTTGCAAGCTTTTTTATCAGGTGGGGAGCAACTTACCCCGCACGATACAAACGTCTGCACATTTTTGCAGCTTTGTGGATCTATATATTTTAGCTCACTTATAAGACATATCAGTCTCAAACTTGGCAATTTTACTAATTCTAAGGGGCTCTTTCCAGTGGTGTCGACGGATATTCCCTGTCTTGTCCATGTCTGAATGTCCAAAAAAACGTGGAAGTGTCTATTGATTGCGTCACTTACTAGCCAAGCGTATGACGCCTGAGTTGCTACTTTTTTAAACATTGTATTGCTTTACAAACATGGAATTGTATTGCTTATAAACATTTTAAACGTTATGTATATATAGATATTTAATAATATTTATAATTGCCAGACGATTCTCTTTGGATTACGCGGTACGCATGCATACAGTGGTAATTTTGTCCCTGCCGTGAAGTATACCGACCAACTAAAGGGTTATGCTACTTCAGTTAAGAAAATTCTTTCTAACTTGAATTTTTCTCAAACTAAATGCTTTTCCTTTTATAACCATAGCTGTATTAGGGTTTAAAGTTTTCCTTATCCGTTATCAATGAGTGACATTGTATTGTGTCAATGAATATAAATTGTATTTAATTGTTATTGTATTTTTAAATAAACCTTGTAGTAATGGTCTCATTAAAACGACCGTAGACCACGGAGGAAATGCTCTAAAGCTTTAAACGATTACGAATAGAAAATTATAACAACTACGAGAACAAATTTGTATTCTGCAGAAACAGTGAATAAGATTTCTAATCCTTACTCCCCAGTGTCCAGTCAGCTATTAGAACGACATTGCCGTCACGTTTTGTATATTTATATATTGCTCGCCCTTTTTGTAGTTGAGAATTCCTGATTGAGGAATTATAATTCTCTACATTGTGAAGCATTGCGTTGGTCATCAAGATATATTGTACAAATTGCCAGAAATACTGTGCTCGTGTCCACAGCTTTTAGCGATATTAATTATCTGCGCGAACGAATAATACAACACCCGCGAACCTGTTTTTGCATGTAGTTTTTCATCTTCTACCTGTTACCTTTCTACGTAACACATGTTGTTGAAACAACTTTTCACTCTGCGAAAAGATCATGTGTTGTGATGTATTTCCGTGAAGACCACTTGTTTGCGGTTTGTTAGAGTAGGTACTTGTGGTTTTACGCAACGAACAATATAGGATGAAACTTAACGGTGTAAAGACGCCAAATAAACAGTTTAATAAACACTTAATAAGAGTTGATATTGGGTTTTGGCCACTTGAGAAGTGAAAGCGGCCCGTGCGCGACAGTCTAAAGGAAACAAATGTACATGAATTAAAAGCAGTAGGAGGAAATAAACTATGAATTTTTTATTAATATCGTTCTTTTATGGTCAAGGATGTTCAAAGCGAAGGGCACGTCCAATAATTTTTATCTTGCTCTCATAAGCTAACTTTAAAAGCTAAGTTGCAGTGTCCCATTTCTTTCGATATGCGCAAAAACGTTACCGAAGTAATCTTACTGTGTAACTCTTCAAGTTTTCTTTAAATGTTCACGGCCATTTTGCCATGCTAAATAGAAAATGACGATGAACATATCGAGCGGGACGAACTGAGTTGCAAACTTAGTGAGTGGCTTAATCGTTTGTTTTTGTTGTGATCATGATGATCAAATAAGTTAAGTGAAAATTGATGTGAACAGTATTTTAAACAATCTTTTGTTTGTTTTTTGTATCACTCTTGCTCTATAACCCTCAATGAAATAGCAGAAAATTCCTAACACTGTTTGCTTACCTGAAAGAAGCTGCAACGGAGGTAGCTAGCCTCGAAAGGGCCGCTTCGCTTGCTGACTAAACTCAGGATTTGTTGTCTTCAGTAATAACGTCGCGTTTTGGCTGAAAATATTGGCATATACTTCAGAATTAATGCCGGCATCAAGCAAAGATTTCTATATCGTACCTTTAATGAAAACTAGGGTATTGAGTACTGAAGGGAATAGGATGATTGTCGTTTTGGCATTTTGTGGCAAGAGGTAAATTTTGGTCATCTGTAAAGGCAGGGTTTAAATTTGGCTTAGGAATAGTTATAATTCGATTTCTTCTAATTTTATTTGAAAAATTAACCAAGTAGTTAAGAAATGAATCGTCAACTAACAGTTGAATTTGTAGTCATCGATTGGTTTACACTGTATCTAAAAGTAACAACGCATTTCACGGATTTCTGTTGGTTTGGGTTTCGTTATTCTCAAAAAAGCGTCAAAAGGTTTTGTTATTGATTATTCATAGACGTTTGCTTCTTCTTCTTAAGTGGTGATTATTGGACAATGTGGCGCCTAATAATAATTACCATAGAGTTACTAGAGTAGATGCTTGGCTAGTGTTCTGAGCGGGTGCTTGTTAAGGTAGGCGCAACATTGCACGTTATGTTGTACTATTCGCTTAACATTAGTCCGTTTCAGTTGCAGCAAACAACTGACACACGAAACAATTATTCGGCGAAGATGGTTGCACCAGGCTTATCATAAACAAATCGCAGTCAATGGAGAAAAATGGTCTCTTCGATGATCTAATCTTTTGATCTAGAATAGGTGATCCTTAATGGACACAAATCTCACTGATTACTTTATAGATAACATTTCAGCTAAAAATGTAAGCGCAGCCAATCGAGAAAATTACCACAACTGAAATCCTGAAAAGTATTTCAAACCAAAGGTTTTTATTTAGAAACACAGTTCAAAGTCAGATACTTTTAAAAACACTAATACATGTATAATTTCACTGAAAAAAATTGCAAACGTTTACAAACGGCTCCGAGTTTAATTGGGCGCGCTATTCTGGTAACTTAAAGAAACTCTTATATCTCGGAGAATTATGCTGAGTTTAATATCATCCAATTCTTATACCCTCTTGTTATGCTTGCCCCACTATTGTGTATAAATACTGAGAAATGAAAACAAAAAAAAAACTGAAGCGTCTGACTACGGTGTAACTAAAAAACACTTCACCAGGCGTCCCTCATTCCCTCGCCATATTACCTTGTAAGAGAGAGTCTTAGAATAGACGATGAGTGTTAGTGCTTCAATAATATCATGCGTTTTGGATATTGCACAAAATAACTGTATCTCCCCGTAAGTTTTATATCTCAAGCTTTATTGTAAGTGTTCTGATGAGCTCAGCGTGACGTTAGTCTGTTTGCCCTTAGTTAAAGGGACTCAGTCAGCAGATGCTCATGCGCATTAGAACCCATTTTTAATCTTAGCTGATTTGCATATCACGAGATGCGTGATTCACGAGATACGGTGTTTAACCAAATAGGATAAAATAATATTAGAGAATGAGTGAAAGAATTCTCAGGAACAGTTTTCGAAGATCGATTGAAACCCTTGGCGAGATTAAAGCGGATTTCTAGAGGTATCTGACGGGTACCTTTGATTTCGGGTTGAGGTAAACGCTATTCAAAGTTGCAAAACTAGCGTCAAGGTCAGCACAGACCCAAAGCTGACTGTGCCCCTTTAATTTCCACCGAGTGTGTAGCAAATGATCTCCAACGACAGAAGAGCGGGCTTTGTAAATGACAGAAATATCAGTATTCAGAATGAAAACGCGACAAATTTTTCAAGTAATATAAGATAGGAAGTCCTCCCTGGACTTGGTGAAGACTACCAGTCGGTGTGATATAATCGTAAAACACGCATGTTCCAGACCCAAAATGTGAGCAGAACTTCCAATTAATAATAATTTTATTATATTAGTTAGTGTTTGATACTTTCTTCACGTACTCTTAACAATGTAGCCCCGAGAAGGCGGGCAAGAAGGGTTCATATTTTTAACTGCAAAGCAAAAGAAAGAATTACTATACAATAACATTTTAGGATCGCTTTCTAATTGCATAATTCAAGATGCCAAGATTCCAAACAGGCCAACATTAACTGCTGCCTTGCTGTCGGTTCTACCTTGTCTTGTCTACTTTGTCTTGTCTTTGTCTTGGTAACTGTTTTTCACTTCTTCAATCTAAGCGCCTTAAAATGTCTCTTGATTGTTTCTTAACCATTTCATGTCAAAGAATGAGGCAATGCGGATTTAACCAGTCAGTATTAAGATTTTTTTTGACGAACATTTTGTGGGATGTAAAAGGAAAGGGTAATGGCTTCATTTATCACAGCGAGCTCCGTGTTAACATATATGTACTTTGAAGTATATACATGTATACGTCATCGTTCCGAGTATCTGGGTCGCGTCTGGAAAATGCTAAATATCATGGAGTAGTAACTGATAACATCTTCGATACTTAATGGAGTATTTCAGTAGACGAGAAGGCGACAAAAAAATGAGTTCTAAATACATTACTAGCTGTATTGCATATTCCATCATTACTTCATGAGTAGTAGAATTTCGCCCTCTAATCATTGTTACCATAAGAAAATTTTCGTACTCAGAGCAAAGTTTAAACCGAAATTAGCCGCAGTCTATCAGTCATGTGATGATCGTAAATCACGTGACCGTTTTAAGGCGCCGCATATAGGTAGTATGCCAGGTGACATTGCAAGGCCTGGAGACTTGAAGCCAGATGGAAGGTGCTAGAATATTAACAACACTGAGAGCATAACAAGGACAAAAGCCGTGTTGAGGAGGCTTTGCTCATCAGAGAATATTAAGGCATGTGGGCTAGGCTCCAGTTTTTTAAATGGCGGTAAACGCATTCCACCGGATAAATCTCCATCCAATGGATAGCGCATGCGCAATTGGTTCCCCTAATACTTATCCACTGGATAGTGGTTTTTTCAGGTGGATTAAGCGCCATTTAGCCTATGCGCAACTGAGGCCTGGACCTTCCACCTTTATACTGCGCTAAAATGGTCGCGTTTTTTAAAAAGCTTATTTGGGATTATCATCGTGTTGCTGATATTGAATTCAGCACGTTGGGATAACGAGTGCGAAAATTGTCGTATAATTATTGTTGTCTCCAGTGCAGGAAAAGAATCTTTCCGATAAATCATTTTTTTCTTCACGAGCATTGCTCGATTTTCTACGAATTTTCGCCTGTTTGCGAACGCTCAATAGGTAATAAGGCGATTACGTACGTTACGCGGGATTTTCACGGCAGGAACCTGGATCAATTTGTACTGCGCATAATCGTTATCTCGTACTGCGGTCTACTGGAGGGGAGAAAAATCGCATTTATTTTTGCACAC